TTCGGTGTAGGCTACACCACTAAGTCGGAGTACGTCAAAGAAGAGGCTGGGCTCGATCTGGATTTCAACACGAACCGAACTTTCAAGATTGTCAATGAGGGAGTCACCAACCCAACCACGGGCACCCCAGTCGGCTTCAAGTTGTTGCCGCACTACAGCCAGCTACTTCTGGCTCATCCGAACTCATGGCACGGCAAGCGCTCCGAGTATACTTCCCACGCCGTCTGGGTGACGCGTCACCAGGATGAAGAGCTCTTCCCCGCCGGCAGGTTCACGATGCAATCCTCCGGCGGAGAGGGCATCGCATCTTGGATCAAGCAGCGGAAGGAAGAAAGCCTGTCTTCAGTCCGCAACGAGGATATTGTCGTCTGGCACACGTTTGGCTCGACGCATAACCCGCGCATCGAGGATTGGCCAGTCATGCCGTGTGAGAAGATGATGGTAGGGCTCAAGCCAGTCAACTTCTTCCAGGGCAACCCTGCACTTGATGTCCCCATCTCGACGCAGGACAAGAACCGTAGCGTGCTGGTTCACGGAGGAGATTGATTAGAGTTATAGAGTTGAGGGACCAAGGTGCCGCGACCATCGCTTGCTATATATTATGCTTTCGACACATATCTCAAATAGAAAGACCATTGACGCCCGTAAAAGGTGGCTCTTAGTGTAGCTCGAATAGCACTCTGGTACCGGATGCAAATTATGATGGGTTACTGTGTTCATTTTCTTTGAGACCTGGCCAACTAACAATGACCGTTGTCATCCATTTAGAACAAAGTTTGGGGCTGAGGTTCGCGCGATCCACTCGCGAAGCGTATCAACGCGACCAATGTCTAGTTTCGGACTTCCAAAACCACCGGTTCCGTAGAGATAAGGCGGTCAAGTTACGAGTTTTGATGGATTCTGGAACTTCTCGCCTGAACCCCCTGACTTATGCGCGTGTTGCACGTCTCTTGAGTCATTGTCAAGTTGATGGCCGCCCACGTCCCACACGGATAGCTCCGCGCGCCTGGGACGACTAGCGGAGTCAAATACCTTGGCATCATGGAAAAGACGATGAAATAGACGACAGCTGTGTCGAGTACTCGACTTGTCTGAAGATCGCAATCTTGGCAAACTTTATTTCTGGTGGTTCAGATCAGATCGATTCAGAACCAAGTGTGGTCGGACATTTCGGCGCACCGAAATGTTCGCTTAGTACTACTTGACCGCCATGTATATGAAACTGCAATGGGGTAAAGTCGCAATTGGGAAGGTAGACGCGAACAAGCGGTGTTGCAATTGTTTTTACATCATTAAAAACTGTGGAAACTTCATTGCTGCGCTGTGCTCAATCGCATGCACAATTACCAAGCTTGAACTTGAGGGTTGGCATCGTCTTTTCTCACGAGTGAACCGTCGAGTGAGATGCAAGCAGAGAGTTCGGTCGAAAATGCGCGGATTGGCACTTGGCAGAATATTCACCTGGTCAGACGAACATGATCTGCTGCACGAGATGTCTTGTATCTCAGATCGTCTCTTGGGACGAGTCTCGGAACAACCCCACGGAGTCCTGCCGCAGTTGCTTCAGACGGTTTGCGAGTCAGGACTCTGGGGTCATCCTTCCCCGGTACGGCCGCCGGGACTAGACTCCTGGGCCCCATCGATTAAGCATCATTCACAATTCTACTGCCATGGACTCTTAGTCCGAAGGCTTCTAGAATGGGCAGAATGGGTTGATGGCGCTGTATTTATAAATGGCCCAGTATTCGCACTCATCTTACCGATTTTCTCTTCATCCCATCAGCAACTCCTCACTCACACATCAATACTTTGACAGAATCTGCAACATGCAGCTTACAAAATTCCTTTTCACGCTGCTTGCAGCTGGCGTCATGGGTCAAAGGTGCTCTGAGACTCTGACATACTGCTCCGGCTCCGCCTGCCTCTGCTTCGCCGATGGCGTTGCTGAAGAGCTCAACAAGATCTGCAAAGCCAAGGGCTTCGAGCGTTCTCTTGGTCCTTCCAAGACCACCGTCGGCACCGTAAGCTTCCCCACCGAACCTTCTCATACATACATCACTAACATTCTGGTTTAGGCGGAGCGCTGCGACCACCAGTGCTGCACTGGCTAGTCTGGGAGTCATGCTCTTATCGATGTTGCGGAATCAGCGTTTTATTTTGTTCAGCCCAGGCTGTGTTTGGGTTCATTGTAGATTTATATCCTAGAGATAGACAATCTATGCAATCCCTTCAGGGGCTCAATGACTTGTCTTTTTTGTCATCGTCACGGTGACAATGTTGTGTGACCACATATTTGTTGTTTGCAGACCCGACTTCGGAAACAACTCTAATTGTTTCAGATTCACTTCCATCCTCCATGGAAGTGTTGTCTAAGTCTAATAGTCCAAAGGCCCAGATCTTATTTCAATGATTAATGTGCGGAGTCTACGAGGACACAGCGCTAGGCCAACCCCCTGTCGTGCAGCCATTATCAAATGATGTCCAATCACATTAGTAACAACTACTCAGAAACTAACGTTGTAAGCTCTACAGTTAGCGGGTGCATCACAAGCTGCGCTAATGCATTCATACATAGACTCAGAAAATCGCTTGCTGTGTGTGATGGAAAATAAGTTGTTGAATTGTCATTTCGCACATATCACTGCCGGCGCATCTCTGTTTCAAAAATTGGATTGATACGAAACCTTTCTACAACAAAGTTCTCTAAATTACCATGAAGCTCAGTTCTTGTGGCCGTTGCTTTGTTGGGGAATGTCGATGTGATGGTTTGAGAAGTTGTCCACCAGGTCATCCCACATCTTAGGATCATGCTCATGCTTTTCCTTGCTGTTCCATGCCCAGTCAGTAATAGTGAGAGCTCTGCTGGTTTCGAACATGAAGGCAATGGAGCCATGAGAGATTTGCATGACGGGAGGATCCTCCTTTGACGCAGCAGCAAATTGCTCGTAGGCAACTCCGTGGGGGACGAAGCCGCACTCAAAAGAGATGCTACCAGGCTGGAACTCGTCGGACCGTCCACCATACTCCCCGTAGATAAGGCCCATGAGCTCGGAAGCGCAGTTTCGGTGGTAGTAAGGGGGTCGGTAAGTATGAGAAGCCACGTCCCAGCGAGGGGAAAAGATGAGGAAATCCGCCAATGGCGCGGTTGGGTCGCGAGACTTGGCTGTAAGCACACAGAAGATAGACGGGTCGATGTGGTCGACGGATATAGATCCGACGTTGACGAATTTGGTCAGGTCGTATTTATAAGGAACGTAGTTGCCGTGCCAGGCGATAACATCGAATGGGCAGTGACGCTGGGTGCTCTTGAAGAACTTGCCTCCCAGCTTGTAGACGGTCTCCCACGGGTCGTCCTTGGTGACCTCATATGCAGCGACGGGGTGCAGAAAGTCACGGGCGTTGGCCAGACCGTTTGCGCCCAGGGGACCCAACTCGGGGAGTTCCCAGTTGGAACCCCAGATCTCGAGGATGTATCCACGGGTGGGTCCCTCGACCTTGACCTTGAAGCGGAGGCCACGTTGGATGACGCAGATTTCTCCCGGCTGCACATACAAATGACCGAACTCAGTCTGAATGTCAAGCGCGCCCTGTTGAGGCACAATGAGCCAGTCGCCGTCGGAGTTTACGAACGCCTTCTTTGACATGCTCTTATTGCAAAGGAAAACATGAGTTGCGAGACCTTCTCTCAGCGTGGGGTCACCGGAACCAGCAACAGTCTTGAGTCCGTCAACAAAGTCGACTTCCTCACCCTCAGGAATTGGGTATGGCTTCCATGCCAACTGGGTGGGCGAGATATGGACACGTGGGTTAATAGGGATGAAAGTTGACTCTGTGTCTTTGTTGTCAGGCAGGGAAGTCTGAAATTTTGTTAATCTTGTGCTCCTGGAACTCCAACAACGATGCACAGATGACACTTACGAAACCCTGATGAGCTACAGCAGGTCGAGATCGGTAAAGCCATGCCTTCTTGTTTGCATGTCGGGGCGCGACAAACGCAGACGCGGTGATCTGCTCGGCGTAGAGACCATATCGGATGCTTCGGGGACTGTTCTGTCCCTGGGGGATGGTGCCGGGAATAGCCTCAGATTCAAAGCTGTTTCCGAGACCAGGCTGGTACTTGTAAGGGTCATTGGGACGGGTCGCAAAAGACGGAATGGTACCGTCTTTCTGACTCGCTGCCCAGTGAAAGGCGTTCTGAAAGTCCTTCGGGGTGAGAGTTTGGGCTGCCATCGTGTTCCGTGATGAGTGAAGTTGACGATCAAATGCTCAGACCGTGTGTTCCCTTCCAGCTAAATAGCGCAATTCTTAGTGTGCTTTCAAATTCCTTGGTAACCGTTTCAATGCCTGTGGACGGAAAAGTTCACCCCACGTGGAGTGTTACGGCACTTACTCCACATGCACACTGACAGCCCGGCAATTGAGCTCTGCAATTGGTGTGGGGTCCGTCCATCGTGACAGCTCCAAGCCTGGTGGACTCTGACACGAACATACGCCGCGGAACTCCGTCCTACTTGCGTGGGGGGTCTGACGGAGCGAAGTGTAACGAATGTGGGCGCTGCGGGCGACCGTATTCTGGAATGAGACTGAGGCTGGATTTATCAAACGCACAAGCCCGAAATGCTACTGGCCATGCTGCTTTGCATCCAAAAGATTGAGTTTCACCAACATTCCTTGCTGCAGGAAAGCCAAACTCTGTCGCCATGGCATTTTTTCTATTTGTTGTCTTACCCTTGATTGCATGTTTATCGTTCAGCATTATCTCTAACAGAAACTCTCGCCCTCCAAAAAACTACAAATCAGTTCCCGGGCCAAAGGGACTACCTCTAGTCGGTAACACCCATCAACTAGGGAAGGCGCCACAACGTCAACTCCAGAGATGGGCCAGCGAAAATGGCGAGCTTTTCAAGATCAGGCTCGGCTGGGAGAACTGGGTCTTTGTTAATAGCCCTGAAGCGGTCCGAGAAATATTCGACAAGCAATCTGCAAAAACATCAGGCAGGATGCCTATGCCGGTCGTATCCGACCTCCTTTCTGGGGAAAACCGACTGCTTCTCCTGACATATGGCACAAAGTGGAGGCAGCTAAGAACCATTGTTCACAAGCTTCTGACACCGAAAGCATCGGAGACCTACAAACCGTCGCAAGACTTTGAGGCGAAGCAGTTGCTTTTCGACCTTGCAACCGGTAACGATGATCAAGAAAGCTTTTACTTGCATGTTCGCAGATACACGACCTCTGTAGTGTTGACAAGTACATATGGTCGACGAGTTCCAGCATGGGTTAGACAAGTCGCTTAATTGGAATCTCCGAATATCTACTGACTGGTGAAACAGGACTGCGACGATATGCGAGAGATCTACCAACTCCTGAAAGACTTTTCTGAGGCAGCAGAGCCTGGTGGGTTCGTAGCCGACTTATTCCCACCACTCGCCCAGATTCCATCATGCCTTCAATGGTGGAGGCCGAGCGCTATTGCGGCATACAACCGGCAGAAAAAGACGTGGATGCGCTACTGGGATGAGTTGAAATCTGCTGTAAATCAGAAGAAAGCTCCCGAGTGTTTCGTGAAGCACTTCATTGAGACAGATTTTGAGAAGCTTGGAATCAGCGATGTTCAGGCTGGTTTCGTGGCAGGATGTAAGTACCGACTTCCGCGCGCGCGTCAAGAAGAGGCCAATTCGTGTGGCTAACCTTCTTATTACCCTCTAGCGATGATTGAAGCAGGCTCGGAGACCACTTCATCTGCACTTAACAGTGCAATTTTATATTTGTCAGCCCATCCAGGCGTCCAGGACACAGCAAACGCTGAGCTCACGAAAGTTGTTGGAAACGATCGATCTCCCACTTTCTCTGATGAGGCTGATTTGCCATACATCCGAGCCATGGGCAAGGAAATCCTTCGCATCCGACCTGTCACGAACATTGGAAGTCCCCATTACACGACCGCGGACATTTTCTACAAAGATTATTTCATCCCCAAGAACACTGTGGTCGCTATCCCACAATATGTCCTCCATTACAGTTCAGAAAAATGGGACAACCCAGAAGACTTCGATCCGTCGCGATATTTGTCTTATCCAGAGAAAGCAGGCTTCTATGCCGCCCAAGGAGATGCGAAAGGCCGCGATCATTTTGACTTCGGCGGCGGCCGGCGCATTTGCCCTGGGATGCATCTGGCAGAAAATAGTCTGTTTGTAACGCTTGCCAAGATCCTCTGGGCTTTCAAGATCGAGCCGGCACTAGATCCAAGTGGCAACCAAATCCCCGTAGATCTCTCAGATGATGCATATGAGCCGGGGGTCAATACTCTGCCCAAACCGTTCAAGGCTCGGTTCGTCCCGCGGAACACGCGACGGGCAGAAGTTCTGAAAGCCGAATGGGCTCAGGCGCAAAAAGAAGGATTTTACTTGGGAAACGTGAAGGTAAATACGGATGGCATGGTTGTTGGATGACGTTGTGGGACGGAGTAGGACGGAAACTGAGCCTCCAGCCGTCCGTCTTTTCGAGTCAGTGGCAGCGTTTCGTCCCAGCAACTGCATCGTCAAGCGCCGCAGGCTTCCATGGATCAGATGGATACATAGGCCAATTACAACCCAATCAGATACGAGCATTTGCAATGCCGAGTGTGCTACACATCTGGTGACGGAGATCTGCTCCACAGATTTCCCCGCAGTGTCCATTACTGACACTGTTAATAAGATATTATTGATCACCGGCAGTAATAGCGCGGCCCGCGAGCTATCCCCGCGTCCGTCTTGGCGGAGTGGCGATCGCAGCGAGATGCGTTGTCCCGATCTTTCTCGTGGGTCAAACTGGCCTGTTTACCGTTTTCTTATCAACTCATTCATTTCACTTTCGCGATAGCTTGCCAGTCTACGTCTTTGTCGAAGACATGTGCAGACGCCGCGCGAAAGTTCAGAATACTGATGTCTTCCGCAATACCCCTGTCACCCAACCCCAACGCGGAAACCGGCCCGCCTGCGACGCCCCCGGATGCCAGCGCCGGGGTCAAGCGCTCGCGACGTGAAAGTAGACAGCATAGATGCGCTTACTGCCCGAAGGTTTTCAAGCGCAGCGAGCATTGCATCCGGCATGAACGTAGTCACACGAACGAAAAGCCTTACTCGTGCCAGTATTGCCATAAGTGCTATGCCCGGAAGTAGGCTCATCTCAGGTGCTACTTAATGGTGTCGTTTGACTAACAATACTCTTCAGAGACCTAGTCACAAGGCATGAACGGACACTTCATGCAGATGCCGCCGCCATCACAGTCGGAGGTCATTTGGGAGAAGAGTCTCAGTCGGATGATACATCGAGCGAGGCGGAAGACGAACACCCTTCGAATGCTCAAAACCGATCTCCAAGAAGACAAAGTCTATTTTCACCAGAGAAGCGCCGCAAGAAGAGTCCCCTTCCAACAACAAGGGATGCCGGGAGTATTACTGTCGCAACTGACACTGAAACTATCGCAACGATTGGGCTCGACCTGGCTGAAGGAAACGAGTCGGTACCCCATGGAGTACCAACTCTGTTAGAGTCTCGGACCGAACAACAAACAGATCCAAGACCATTGGGCTCTATGGGCTTCGCGACCGAAGACATCGCTGCATCGTTCCTAGACACATCGTTCCCTTATCCGATCCCGCCTTCGGTATTACCTCTACCGGATGGGACCCTCGATTTCTCCCAAGACTTGGGGTTTCTGAACTCTCCAAGCTGGCTCGCATTTGGTCTGCCAGATGATCCTCATTCTATGTATGACGTGCAACTGAACAATTGTCTCGATACTGCTACGAGAACGGCGGTGAACGAAGTATCGCCAAACTCAACAGCATGCGACTCCGATCTCTCCATGGCCGAACCCGAGCAAGTGGGTACAGCTATGGGGCAGCAGACCTCATGCTGTTTACCATATGGCAAAAAGGCATCGGCAGCTTTAATAGATAAGGCTGCATATGCTTCCATCTGTGACGAGCTTTCGAGCCAAGCTGCGAAAAGTCGAGGATCGAAAGACTTGCCCACTCTAAAAACATGCCAAAACTTCCTCGCAAGCTATATGGGAAGCTTTCACTGCCATTTGCCTATCCTTCATTTGCAAAGTCTCGCTCTGGGGAAGGTTCCCAGTGCTCTGATTCTAGCGATGTGCAGCATTGGCGCGTTGTATCGACTAGATCGGCGCCGGGCACGTCGTCTGTATGACTTGGCTAGAATATTGGTCGAACCGGTAAATCTCTCTTTCAGCCTGAGTTGAAACCACGCAGACTTACTAATCTGCAGCAGGTCGTCATAAAGGACTTCCCGCTGTGGTTCACGCAAACTAGATTTCTCTTGACCTTTTATGCTACCTTTAGCGGCGACCAGGACCTGGTTTCAACCTCCACGGATGAAAGTGGATTCTACAATCTGGTGAGATTTTTAAGCTTTTTTCATGAATCCTGGTGACTGGCTGACTTTCCACCTAGATATACAACCAAGCACGCAATAAGCTCAACAGCGAGAAAACCAAACTCTCCACGATGGAGTGGCCACGCTGGGTTGAACGCGAATCATGGAAGCGAGTTCTTGGGGGCATATATGTTGCAGGCACTCTGAGAATGGTTATCTACGGCATCAACCCCATATTCAACGCATCTAACGATTTGGAAGTTGAATGCTTCCATGAGGAAACCCTATGGAACGCACAATCATCTAGCGAGTGGCTAAGTCTACAGCCAAAGCATGAACACCAGGAGGTCGGCACTATGAGGGAACTGGTGGAAGGCGTTCTATCAGATGACCAGAAGCGCAGCAGACTTGACATCGCTCGAGTCTCTCACTTCTCATTGCTCATACTCACACATGCCGTCATGGTACATATGCGTCAGCTTTACCAGATCTCACAGACGTCCGCTCTCTGCGCGTTCTCCAGTCAGTCATTTCTAGGCCAGTCTCTATTGAAAACGGGCTTGGAATCTCTTTCGAGGTGTTACAACTTACTCCAAATGCCTCACCAAGACCGACTCGAAGACCTGGATGACAAGGATATTGTCTCCCTACGTTTCTCATCTTATGGAATCCTTAGAGCCGCGTACATCCGACTGTTTGACATCACTACAGGGTTCGACCGGCTCACTTTGATGGCCGAGGATCCCAAAGTCATTGAAACGTCGGTCGCGATTTTGGCAGAAGCGCCACTCGAAAGAGACCGTTTTCTTCTAGATGCCGTAGAGAAAACGCTGGAGGGGTTCCAAATTCCATTCAGAATGGGACACATGCTGATGCGCAAGACTGCCGCGTTCCGATGGAGTATTGAACACGCAGTCGCAGCCTGGGATGCCGGTAATACTCGTGAGATCCTTCCTTAGGCTTTGGGCTAAGCTTTATAAACAGGACTATTCGTCACCAAATGGGTGCACTCGGTGGAGATTGATGCTATAAATGGCATCGAACCAACCAGGGCGGAGACTGAGCTGCTGACGGCAATGAAGGAAGTTCTCGAAGAGGCGGACTATGATCCAGAGGAGAACAGATCGTTTGCGGCGGGGCTTGCTCGGACCTGGAGTCTTTTCTTGCAAGATGTAAGTCTCGCGAGCTGTGGAATTTCTCCCTGAATGAAAGAACCATGGCTAACAAGTCTCGGGATAGGTATGGGTTTGGGGCATCACTGTGCGCATGGGAAAGGTTTTGGAACACCTGGCAACTGCATATGAAAACCATAATGAAGCACAAAGGCAGAAATGACAGAATCTTGAGTCTTAATCGACAAGCTTTCACAAGATGCAGCGGTGGAGACTCTTTTCAGCGACTAATTTGGTTGCAATTGGCGACGTAGACTACTGACCATGCTCAAATGTTTCATCTTACTCAAAGGCTCGATTCCTTGGTCTTAGAACCAAGTCTTCGCTCTTCAGTTGTATTCCCCTGTTCACTAACCAGTGGCAAAACCTTGTGCTCTTAGAAGACCTTGAAACCCTAGTTGGGGATACTAATCTGCAGCCTAGCTCCTACTAATAGCTAAACTCCCCTCTTAAAACCAACCCAGCTCGTTTTCAGAGGCTTTGACTGAAATGGTCCTGCCTATATTATGAATTTTTGATGATACAAGGAGAGCAATCCGTTACTGACGACTGCGGTTCGACTTGCCTAAGTAATTTGGGCAATGTGGGGTACATAGCGGGAACCGGATCAGGCCGCAGGAACACCACGGCCCGGGGCGGCTCCCGAGATTGGAAGTGGGGGTAAAGCGAAGCTGCACGCCCGGGTTTCCGATGTGGGGTAATGTGGGGTAATGTCCGGTTGCTTCTCCGGGAGTTTCTTCGGCAATTCAACATGCGGGGTCGGAAGGCTGCCAGAGGTTCCGGAACACCCGCTGATGCTCCTGGCTGTGGTCTTTACAGGTTCTATCTAGTAGTGAGTTCCAAGTGCTTTCAACATTGTGGTTGTGGCTGAAACAAAGTGTTTGAGGGACCAATGCAAAGGTCTGAACCGCACCAATCCGGATAGAACCTCAAGCCTTCCGTCAACTTGGGTGACTCTTGTGTCTGAATCGTTTAAGCCGCAACCAACTTTGCCGTCTGACTTTATCCTTAATCCGACCGCACACTTCGAAGATCAGATGGCTTCTACTACAATCTTTCAGCATCCTCTGATCGGAGATATCAAGGCAAGCTCCACGGAAGATGTGATTCAATTCTTAGGTATCAAGTATGCGAGCCTCAATCACTGGTTTGACAACGCAAAACTTGTCGAGTACGACGGGAAAGGCCTAAGCGCCATTCGTCATGGGTGGGTAAGCCAGCAGCCTGATGGGATGAGGCCACCGGAGCTAAATGAGAACACCAGGCCGCAAGTGATATCTGATCCCGAGGGCGTTCATAAAGAACAATTCATCATTCAGAAGACCCTCCCAGTCAGTGGCCATCCAGGCATCTCTGGAACAGAATGTCTCAACTTGAATATTGCCGCACCCACAAACTCCTCCGAGGGCCAGTCGCTTCCGGTGATCGTTTTCATCCACGGCGGTGCTTTCATTACAGGGTCAAACTGGTGGCCGCAGTACGACTTGAAGCGGATCGTTCAGCTTTCCATCAAGCAAGGCCAACCTCTGATCGCAGTCAGTATCAAGTATGTATGATCTCATCACTGTCTTCTGACGCAGCATTGACGGTTCATCATCATAGCTACCGTCTGGGAGCTCCCGGATTCTTGACTTCAGACGAACTTCGAAAGGAGGGTTTCAAGAGCAATCAAGGCCATCATGACCAAAGAGTTGCTCTCCAATACGTCAAGAGTTACATCTCCGGCTTTGGCGGTGATCCTCACAAGATTACAGTGATTGGTGAGAGCGCCGGCGGAAGTGAGTTTACCCCCAATGGCATCGACTTCTAGAAGCAGACAGGCTGCAGCGAAGAGCCAAGCATCTAACGTGTCTTTTAATAGTTTCAACTAGTCGTTTGCTTTACTCGAATGATGATGCGCCGTGGCAGTTGGCTGTGCTAAGCGGTGCAACCCCGTCACTCCCTCCTATGGAAATCTCAGCCGCCGAGGAAGCTTATCGCGGAGCACTCAAATCCCTCGGCGCCGAAGACCTTACTCCGAGCCAGCGAGTTGAGGCTCTGAGCAGACTTTCACCTGAAGAGGTCCTTGAGAAACTCGACAAGAGTCTTCAATTTTTGCCCGTGCTGGATGCAGCTACTGTACCTTTCGTGCCGACTTTCAAGGCAGTAGAAGCCAAAACGTCCATCCCCGACAATACCCCTTGCAAGGCCATCTTTGTTGGCTATCTTCCTGATGATGTACGTAGACCAAGTCATGAAGTGTGAAAAGTTATCTAACCAGCGATGAACAGGCGAGCATCTTCGGCCTCGCCGGACTAATCCAGCGGAAGCCTGGTATTGGTGCTTCGTTCCAGAAGTCAATTGAGTCATCCTTCTCGGATCACCCCGACAAAGCTACTAGATTGCTGAAAGCCTATGGAATCAGCGAAGATACCAACGATGAAGATGCCTTCAAAGGTGTCATAAGGTTCGCATCAGACATTGGCTTCCAGGCACCGGCCCGTTCGTGGGCTGCCAGCTTTCCTGGCGACTCATACCTCTTTGAGCTGGCCGAGGCAAACCCTTGGGAAGGTCCTTTCAAAGGCTATGCCACCCATGTGCTAGATGTTGCACTCCTGTTCCAGAACTATAGAGAGCATCTGGATGCGAAGCAACAAGCCTCTGCAGAAGCTTTTGCTGCAGACATCATCACTTTTGCGCACGGCAAAGCGCCGTGGAAGAAGTATCGAGATGGAGGCGGCCTGGGCGTATATCGAAACGGCGTTAGAACTTACGAAGAAGGCCCTGGAGTTATCTCGGAACAGTATCAAGTGCTGATGGAGGTGAGCCAAACCGTCGGTTTGGATTTCGTGTTGGGCGCTTGGACGAAGTTTTTTTTATTCTCTTAACTGGCAGAAGTGTATCTACTTGAATCGCTTTGAAAGACAATCTTGCATAGGCATTTCCACAGGGTGTTCAAATGATTCATTCGTTTGATGTTCTAGAACTCGGGGGTCGCCGTGTGTGATTTGTGGGGGAAGCTCCGTCGTAGGGCAGAATTGCCTGCCGGCGACGACCGGAGCAGGCGGAGTTGGGGGGCTTTGCATGCGGGGTCGGGGTCGGGAGCGGCAATTCAGACGCATAAAACCGGGTAGATTGCTCGGCTTGATTTCTTCTTCGATGCCGGTTTGCCATGTTGACACCCTTTCTTGAACATCGGATTTTCAAACACGAACAAAAGTCTGTTGCTTAGAACAATATTCCGCCCAATTATCAAATCATCTCTCTGCCGAGGCACAAGGCAGAATTGCTGAATTGGCCATGACTCTGCTGCGACATAATCACTCTAGTCTCGGCGCAACCCTCGTCGGGATTGAACGCCCGTTGGTTGCGCACTTTCGGGGCATACCATATGGCCGTATTCCGTCGAGATTCGCGGCACCCGAGCCCGTCGAGAGCCTGCCACAAGAGCTGGATTGCACGCATTTCGGGTTGTCACGCTTTCCCCGCCGAACCGGCTCTTGACTCGGGACCCGCAGTCTGACCAACAATCTCACCAGACCACGATGTCCTCAAGTTCCCATCGATGTTGGGCATCTCTTACGCATACCACCACACCACGTGCTTCCCGTAGAAGCCGAAGACGAGTTCAATTGTCTCAACTTGGATGTCACGGTACCCAAAGCGCGACTCGGGACGACTCCCGGCGAGAGGTTACCTGTGCTAGTCTGGATTCACGGTAGACCTCCCGATACGAGGGCATCATCATCGTAGGTTCGCTGACCGTATTTTCGTGAAGGTGGCTCGCAGGCCGTGACTTTCGGCAGCGCCGCTTCGGGTCTCTGTGGTAAGCGCTTACTTTGTCTCAGCTCATGCACCTCGACTCACGAGGCGTACAGACACGACGAAGATTGTTGAAGACTCTGTACGCATGGGACTGCCCATCATCGCCGTCGCCATCCAGTACAGACTCAACATCTTTGCATTCGGAGATGATGACAGCTCAGTAAACCTTGCTTTGAAGGACCAAGCGCTGGCGTTGCAATGGGTCCAAAGGCATGTTGCTGCCTTTGGCGGCGATCCTGTAAGTGATGCCACCGTGTTGAATGCGATTCAATTAAGAGCCGCGCTGAAAGTTACGCACAGAAAGCCGTTACTCTTGCGGGGGAGAGTGCAGGAGCAGTTTACTGCCACGCACACATGGTGAGCAAGGCGCCGTTGAAGCAATGCATTCTGGCATCCGGGTCTCTGCATCTTTCACCCCCTCAACCGCAAGAAAGGGCCGCTGCATTTCGCTCTAATCTCAAGCATCACTTACGCGATTTGGGCAAGGTGGATTTGCGCACAGCTCCTGCTGATGTTGTTGTAGAAGCATTGAAGAGATCCGAGGTCCAGTCTTGGTTCCTTCTGATGGAGTCATCACTTGAAGGATGGCAGGAGAGCTTGGGCGAGGCAAACCGGCTGATGATCAGTGATGTTCAGAACGAGGTCAGTGGGCTCGAAAGAAAACCCCCAATTGAGTATTGACCTGTGTATAAGTCTGTCCTCTGGCGCGATGGCATTTGGTCAATGGGGGTCAGTGACATTGTCAGCGCGTTTGACATCGCAGGAGAACATCGCGACAAGCTTAAGCAAGCATACAACATTTACCCGAATAGGCCGTCCTCGTGCAAGCTTGGGGCGTTGGACTTCATCAACGATTACAAGTTCTTGCTCCCTATTCAGGAGATGGTTCAGCTCTGTAAACGCGCCGAGACGCCCGTGTACCGAAGTCTCATTGATGAGGCCAACCCTTGGCAGCCATCGAATGGAGCGCATCACGCGATCGATCTGATCCTCCTGTTTGGCGGTTTCGACTCGTCATTATCTCCAGCTGCCAAGGCGACTGGCGAAGAGATGCGCAGATCGTGGATTCGGTTCATCCATTCGCAGGAGCCTTGGTCTCCAATCTCAACCGCTGCCTTTGGGCCCTTTGGCATGTTTCAGGAGCTCGATGACACCGAAGTAAGATCGCGAAGGCGCATAGATCAGGCGAAATACTTGCAAAGCGTTGGATCGCAGGCGCTGGACAAAGTGTTTTTGGCTCTAGCTGCAGGAAGAATCAGTCTTCTGAATTAAGGCAAGGCAGCCGCCAAGGACTCAAGGATTCCCCGAATTGGAATTCGCTCGGATCTTCTGTCTCAACTTCGCAAACGCCTATTGCCT